CACACACACACACACACACACACACACACACACACTTTGCCTTCTTCAAATCTATTCTTAACAGCAGCAGAGTTTTTTTTTCACTGTTCAAGGTTTACTTTATGTTTCAGTTGGTATGACACTTGGATAGTTGGTTGCATTGATCTTTCTTTTACATTATATGGTAATGTACACTACTGATACAAATAGCACACAAAATAAGATCCTTCAGAACAGTTATGCACAAGACATGCGATACTGGATTTATACACTGGATCCCAGGATGTGACCGACTGGAAAAAAACAGCTGGACTAGGCATGTTCGGTGAAGGAACCGGGAAGTTATATTACACACAGGAAACATGCATCTGGTTTGAGGGGCAACTGCAGTGTGTGCAGATTGGCAGTGGTGCCTCAGAGTTGGTAAACTATTTCATACTAACCAGTTTAGGACTACACAAGATAAGTACCATCCAGCATCAGGATATAGCTGTAGGGTTTTTATGAACCATTCCTATTTCTAACTTTAGGAATTGATGTTCTTCCCAGTCCATTAAAAATGCGACAGTGACTATGTAGGTGGCCACATCCGATGTCATCACCATTGACCCCTCCAGAATCTTTTCCAAGTTCACTCCCTCTAGGACTCTGACTCCGATATTCTTCAATCCTAGCAGCAGCCACAATCCACTGAGCCTATCACCTATTTGCTGTCTGCACTGCCCACTCAAGGTCCTAATCTCTCCCTTGTGAGTACCCTCAATGCCCCCTCCTGCCGTGGCCTCTCCAGGCAATGCCACTCCCTTTACCACCACTGCTCTGCCTGCTCTTGCCTGCACTGCAGAGCCAGGCAGGACAGGTCTTACGTCACTGCGTGCAGCAGTGTCATAAGTTCATGATCTTTGCCACAGTCCCCTATTACTCAGCCAGCCCACAACACTTCCCTAGTCACTGCCGTTTGTTTATTGTCTGCCCGTACCAGACGTGAGCTCCAGGTCCTGCTAGCACCAACTTCATGTATGTTACTGTCCCTTTCCAGGTCTCAGTTTCCCCACCTGTAGAATAGGGGTGGGATGAGGGAGACCGACCAGTGTTTCTTAATCAGGGGTATCCTTCAGATTCACCAGGACACTTGCTTAAAATGCAGTTCCTGGACCCTGCCCCTGGAGTCATGCTCTGTTGGTGAGGGGCTGGAAATTTGCATTTTAATCATTTGGGACATTTGAGTATTCCCTGAAGCCTTCTTACCACCTATGGTTCCATAAACACACGTGTACATCCCACCCCAATGACATCTGCATCACATACCCAGACACAGCCACACAGATCCAGGCTCCGGTTCCACATACACCACTGACACCCCAAGAGATCTATCTCTCTGCCTATGTAACAAGGTGGCTGGCCTGGAGGGCTGTGTGTGTTCACAAACTTTTGTGCACACACAGACACATCTGCAGATGTACACACACAACCCCGTAAGCACCAACACAGATGCAAAGACCCGTGGGCAGACACACATAAGCCAATAAGCACACACAAACAGATACTCACCTGAAGACAGACACACCTGAGGACACACACACACAGAGGCCAGCACACTGCGGGACAGGCAGGAAGACATGCCAAGACACACGCTCATCTCGAGGAGCAGCAGATACACACACTCACACACAGACAGACTCTCATGCTCCTCCTTATTTTCCTGGCCCAGCTCCACATGGAGAAGCTCTTAGAAAAGAAAAACAATGTAAGAGCCTGTGGGGGAGGGGGGATAGAGCCAAGAGGAGGGGGGAGGGGTAGGGAAGGAGGAGGAGAAGACAGGAAACTGAGTGCCAGAGCTGTGCTGGGAACCGGGCCTGGCCCCTGTGTGCTGGGCCCTTCCTACAGCCCCTAAAATAGGAGCCTGGCAGGGAGGGGGCCACTGCCACATCCTCTCTGTCTCTGGGAGCTGCCAGGCCTGGCATGCGCTTGGCCGGGAGGCGGCCCTCGGCTCTTTCCAGGAATCCCAAGCCAGTTGCGCAGGGGCAGGGCAGGCACCACCCAGGCCCCTAATGGCTTCCAGGCACCTCACTAAAGGCAGAGGTGGGGGCTCCAAACTCAGTCCCTGCTCCCCTTCCCAGGCGCCTGATGGGGCCCTCCTAGAGGGTGGGGGAGGAAGGAGGGAGGCAGTGGAGCAGGGAGTTCTCTGGAATGCCCTCCTGCCTTTCCACCTGCAGGCCCTCTCCTGGAGGGTGTGCTGGGAAGGGGTGGGGATGGAGTTCCTCAGGGGGGCTTTCTGGAGAAGCCCAGCCCCCCAGCACACCAGGAATCCTACACTTCCACGCAGACCCAAGGGCAGCCAGACCCTGCCTCGCAAGGCCACTCCCCACCCCACCCAACTCCTAACAGCCTTGGGGAGGAACACACACACTGAGTGAAACAGAGACCGCATGGCGCACAGCTCAACTTGTAGGGACACCTCCACGCACCCTGCCCTGCCTGCCCCTCCCCACCAGGCTCAGGCCTTCTTCCCATGAGGTGCGTGTGCACGTGTGTGGGGGTAGTCTCCTGACGCCCAGGGTGTCGCCACCCCCTCTGAGAAGCAGGTCGGGGTGGGACCAGCCACCACAGGGCTCTCTCCCCCCACCCTCCTCTCGGGCCTCCCAACAGCCAGGGGGCTCTATTCCTGCCTAGGCTCTAGGTCTATGTCCGGGCCATTCCCCTCCTTGCCAAATCCCCCCTCCCAGACTCCGAAGCCCCCACTCACCTTCAAGCTCAGTTGCCACCACCTCCGGGAAATGCCTTGATTGCCCCACCCCCACCTGGGAGCACAGGCCTACAACCTCCCAAGGCCAGACCCGGCAGCCTGCTCCTCTCTCTTCTTGGAGCACAGGCTTCCCCACCCAGAGGGGACACTGGTGCCACCCACAGCTTCTGGGACAAGCGGTGCATGCAGCAGTTGCCTAAAGTTGGCTGGTGGGGCCCATGGCTCTTGAACCCCAGGCCAAACTATGCCCACTGGGAGGAGGGCAGAAGCAAGAATGTTGTGACCTGACATTTACCACAGGCTAGGCCCTCAGCAGCCCCACCCACAGAAAGTGAGCAGTGATTCCTGTTGCCCTAGAACTTGTGTGGAATGCTTCTTTCTCCTTCTTCCTTCATCAGCAAACTCCCACATATCCTTCAACACCCGCCTCCAGTGTCCCCTCCCCAGGAACTTTTCCCTACCCTTTGTGCACAGAGTATGTTAGGGGTCCCAAAGTACCAGGTACCACCTCCCTGTTTTACAGCAATGGCCACACTGTGAAGTCCACGAGAGCATCAGTGTAGGGCCCAGCACAGACCAGCACAGGATGAGCGGAAGATGGACAGATGCTACTGTCAGGGGTACCCCTGAGACCAGGGAGAATGTGGGCAGGTCGAGCCATCCTAGGGATCAGGAGTTAGTCTGCAGCCAGGTAAGTATCTGAGCTTGTCTGTGGCTGGGTCAGAGTCAAGGTCATCGCATGGTCAGGTCAGGGTCCTGTCTCTTACCTGAAGAAACCTAACTGACCCACAGGGGGACGACCTTATGTTCTGTCCTCAGTATGTTCTGATGGCTCTCTCCATATCCAGCGAGGGGAATGAGCAATACTGACGCCTGGACAGGGGCCAGCTGAAGGGATTGGGGGGGGTCCCAGTGCTCCCTCCCACCTCCATACAGCTCAGAAACCCTGCATGTCCTCCCAGAGCACTTCAGGTGGGGCCCTGGGGCGAGCTCATGGCTACAGGCCTGGCTGTGGGCAGACAGCAGAGCCCAGCAGGAAACCACAGAGGGCAGCCTGATTGAATAAATGCAGGGCCCAAGGCTGGTCAGCCCACAGAATGCGGGCACCTGTCCCTCTGACCTGCTGCCCAGGCTCCAGCTGCTGGACCTCCAGGAGAGGGCTAGGGGAAAGGAGGAAGAGAGGCTAAGCTACCAGGCTGGATCGCAGGCCAGGGGAAGGCACGCTTGGCTGCTTCCCAGCAGCCTGATCTCGGACTGAGGAGCCACAGAAATGTCCTAGATCAATGATGTGAACTCCTTTCTTTACAGATGGGTCAACCGCGGCCCAGAGGGGCAGCTACTCCTCTACGTTCACGTGGTGGGCCTGGTGGACAGGCAGGGAGCTGGAGCGCGCTGGGACTGGATGCCTCCCCTCCTGGCTCTTGACTACCCGGGGGGACACGATGCCCCTGGGAGCCCCTACGAGGTAGGGTCCTCGGGCGCCAGACCAAGTGGTCGCAGCTGGGATGGGAGAGGTTGGGAGCCTTCGTGGGAGCTGGCCCCCGCCCCAGACTCTCAGCCACTCCTCGAACTTCTCACCCCTGGACAGCGGACATCTCACGAGTCTAGCGCTGCCACTGAAGTCCTGTGTGATAACCAATCCGACCCCTACAACAACCCTGCGAGAGGAGGGCGGGACGGTGGCTATCACCCCCACTAATGGCAGAGCAACTGAGGTCCCGACCCCGCGTCGCCTTAGTCCTCACTCAGTCGCCCCCGCCCAGGCAGGCCGGCCCCCTAGCGGCGGGCGGAG